TAATATAGATATACAAAGGGTATATAGTCTGGTCTAGTTAAGCGAACAAAATATCCTGTTTATCGTAATGTAAAGATTAAAGAAATAATAATAAATATGAATAAACTGATAAATAAACTAAAGCTCATATTCTCATTAATAAACTAAACAACTATAATACGATAACTATGTTCCTTCCATTAATAAGTCTCAATATCATCAATGCTTCCTTTCAAGGGCAACAATTTGAAATCACAAAAACCCGATCTTTGAAATTTTGGACATTTTAAATTAATTATTTGTTTTAAGAAATAATGCAATGAATAGAATAACAACTGAAGTAAGAAAAAATAATTATATTTTCGAAATGTGGGGCTGGTGAGAAGAAGATAAATAATTTATTTGGGAAGTCCTGTAATGAAACGGTCATGCACCCTGCTATCTGATTGATTTTCAACTTCTACAATATAATTGTGGGCCTTTTTAAAAATACAAAATAAAGTTATTGTACAAGTATCCGCCACAATTTTGCATTCATTTTCTAGAAAAATAAATTATAGAAAATAAAATGACAAAATATACTTTTGTACCTATTACCTATTACACGTCACATCTTTTATCATTTTTTATCTACCTATAAAGCTCTTATTTTTTTTCCTCAATTAATTATTGCATTTTGTTAAATCTTCTTGATGTCTACTAAACTTTTATAAAACAGGATGCATATCGAAAAACTTTGCGCTAAAACTGTTACTAGTTTTTATAAGTGTTTTTGGACGATATGTTTTGGCTATTATGATATTTTTGTTGGTAAAACTGTTATCAAATACGAATTAAAAATTATGGTAGAAAATTAAAATTAGTAGTGATACAGAATTATAAAACAGACATGTTTAACGAGAATGATAGAGAAATTGAAGATGTTATTGATGCTAGAAAGAAAAGCGGTCAGTACAACATTCAAGATGAGACAGTGACATCAACAAGTACATCATGTAGATTTGTGTATTCTACCCCAACATCGGGGCTGACTGAAGATAGGATATTTAATGAATGCATTAATGAAGGGGATTATTTAACGGAT